ATTCCCATAATGACATAAGACTAGGGAGTTTAGTATCATTCATAGATGATCATAGGTATTGGATACGATCACAATCATAGGTATTCGTTGCAGAACGGAATACTGGACTGACCCGCATGAGATTGTCACATGGACTAGCGTCATGACTTGAATCTCATACGACGATTCTATGATTGGATCCTAAGACCTGAGATATCTACAGAATCCAACATGAGGAGTTGCGTTCTTTGATTACGTCAAACGTCCTGCGTAACAGGAGGACTATAAAGGCGTGTATCAGGTACGAAACGAATCATGTACTGGATTGTAGATAGTCAATACGGGATTTGTACCTCTCGTAAAAGAGAGAGATATCGCTGGGCCCCTCGTGTGAGCAAGACTGTAGAAATGTGTGGCCGCACTATAGACGAACGTCGTCTATTTCAGACAGTCGAACTCAGTGAACGAGAAAGCAGTCGAATCAGATAAGGTGGCTTGTCCATGCCTTATGTTCGACATATGATATCGCGATACAAAAGGATCATCAGTCGGAATCATCACTGGCTTTCGTATGATCACAAACAAACTCTATTCGAGATAGGTAGTCATAGTGTCTTGCTAGAGACCGCCTATGACTTGTATTCCCGGAATGGAGATTCTGTGTTTTACTGCTATTCCGGATGAGCCTACAGGGTCACACACAATAGGGATGGACAAGTATGTGTGCTAAATTATCCCGATTAGGAATCCTAATTGGATTGAGATTCCTAATTGGAATAGGAATCCTAATGGGATTAGGAGTCCTGTTATGTATAGGAATCCTAATGAGATTAGATTTCTATTACATCTAGGAAACCTAATGAGATTAGAATTCTAATAGGTTTAGGAAACCTAATTAGATTAGGATTCCTATTAATCTATTCCTTGTCAAATTAGGATTTTTGGAAAGTCTATATAAGGAGAATGTCTTCTAGGGTTTTAAAAAAGGAAAAAAAAGAAAAAAGAAAAAAAGAAGAAAAATAAAACCCTAAGCCTCCAAAAACCTTGCACACAAGAGAGATCGAGATCTCTAGTCCTAGCAGACAAGTTCCAAGGTGTTGGAATTTATCCCGACGTGTGGATACGTGTAGAGGGCGAGGTATTCTTCCTGCCTAGAGTGATCGGACGAACAGATCAATTGATACAGGCCCCGGATCGATTGAGGTAAGCGTTCTAACGTTTCTATGATTCAATAGTAGCATGGTTCTAGGGTTTCATTAAAATTTTTGTTTTATATCCGCTGCGCAAACCCTAGAATCGATCTCTTAGGAATTAGATTCGCTCATGAGATCCCAGGAATCCCAACAATACTGCTATATCGAATGAGCCTACAGGGTTACACACGCAGGGAAGGACAAATGCATGAGAAAACGTCGAGAAATCTGGACAAGAGGTCCGAACCGTTCGGTCTAGGAGTGGACCGAACGGACCAGAACATCTAGTCCGAACGGACCAAGTTGTTGGACCGAACGGACTAGAGGGTCCAGTCCGAACGGACTAAGTGTTGGACCGAACGGACTGACCAGTCCGAACGAACGGACTGAGTTATGTGACTGGTTCGAACGGACCAAGTGTCCAGACCGAACGGACTACTAAGCAGTCCGTTCGGTCTGGGTTTCAGATTTAATTTAAAAATCTGGAATTAGGGTTAATCACTTTAATGAAAGGAGATAAATAACCCTAACAAGTGGTAGCCGACCTGGAGAACTGCTTGAGACCTTTTTGGAGAGTCTAGAGGGTCCAAGAAGTGATTGAAGTCACGTTTTCTCAAAGCACATCATCGATTAGAAGTTTCGAGTCCTAGCAGACAAGTTCCAAAGGTTGGAATCCATCCCGAGTTGTGGATACATGTAGAGGGCGAGATATCCTTCCTCCCTTTCGTGATCGAACGAGTTCTTCAATTGATACAGGCCCCGGATCGATTGAGGTAAGCGTTCTTACTCTTCTACGAATCATAGAAGCATGGTTCTAGGGTTTTATTAAATTTTTGTTTTTCATCCGCTGCGCAAACCCTAGAATCGATCTCTTAGGAATAGAATTCGCTCATGAGATCCCAGGAAACCCATCATTGGTGACGGGTGACCAACAACATCAAAATATTACAAAAAATATACATCAACATCAACATAAAAAAATGTCATACACCAATAACATCAAAATATAACAAAAAATATACACCAACATCAACATATCATGAATTTTAATATGCTATAGAAATAGAAGAAGTGAAAAAATTAAAGTATAAAACCCAAATATTTTTTAATGTCGCGAGCCGACCGAGATAGCCCGGATGGGTTCGAGCTCTTCGCGAGCTCGCTCGTTCAGCCCGTTTTTATTTGGTCTTTTATTTTTTCAGCCCAGCTCGTGAGCCTGACTCATTTTGCCATCACTACATCGAATTAGTTGACAAAAGTCCATACTTTGTTGTCGTACATGAATTTCATCTCAGTCTCCATGGCCTGGTGCCACCTCTCGGAATCGGGACTCACCACAGCCTCTGAATACGAGGTAGGCTCGTCATGCTCTAATAGCATGAGTTCATCGTTTCCAGTCACAAGAAACCCGTATCTTGTAGGCTCTTGGCGAATTCTACTTGATCTTCGAGGTTCACTAGGAGGTATTGTCTCAACAACTTGTGACATAAGTTGAACTGATTCGACCTGTTCATCCGGTTCCTTGACTATTTGTGGTTCTCGAATTTTTTTGAGATCTATTCTACTCCCATTAAATTTCTTGGAAACGAACTCTCTCTCCAAGAAAGATCCATTCCGAGCAACAAACACTTTATTCTCAGATGGATTGTAGAATCAGTACCCTTTAGTTTCGTTAGGGTAACCCACAAATATGCATTTATCAGATTTGGCGGATAGTTTATCAGAAGCCAGACGTTTCACATAAACGTCGCATCCGCAAATCTTCATAAACACCAACTGGGACACTTTCCAGTCCATATCTCATATGGAGTCTTCTGAACTGACTTTGTTGGACAGTTGTCCAGTATAAGTGTTGTCGTTTCCAGAGCGTAGCCCCAAAAAGATTTAGGAAGATTGACCTGACTCATTATCGACCATACCATATCTAATAAGGTTCAGTTCCTCCTCTCGGACACGCCATTCCACTGTGGCGTTCTAGAAGGAGTCAGCTATGTGACAATCCCACAATCTGCCAGATAGTAAATCAACTCTTGGCTCATATATTCGCCACATCGATCAGATCGAAGCAACTTGATCATTTTGCCAAGTTGGTTCTGTACTTTGTTTCTGAAAATCTCGAAAAGTTCAAGTGTTTCAGACATATGTCTCATCAAGTAGACATAACGGTACCTACTGAAATTATCAGTGAACGTAATGAAATACATATAGCCTCCTCTAGCGAACGAACTCATAGGACTACATACATCACTATGTATGAGTTCTAGCAACTCTATAGCCTATTCTCCTTTTCTAGAAAAATGAGATTTTGTCATTTTGCTCATCAAACAAAAGTCATACGATTCAATTGATTCATAATCAAAAGAATCAAGAAGTCCATCAGAATAGAGCTTCGCAATGCATCTCTCATTGATGTGACCAAGTCGACGATGTGAGAGATAGCTCGGATTTAAGTCGTTCGGCTTAAACCATTTGGTACTAACATTATAGATTGAACTGTGTTCAGACAATTTATCATCCAAAATATAAAGGTCATTAAACATGCAACCATTATCATAAAATAAAAGTCCTCTATAAATAGATAAAGTCTTGTTCTCAATAACAAAATGAAAACCATCAGAATCCAAATATGAAATTGAAATAATATTCATGCTAATGGAAGGTACAAAATAACAATCATTTAGTTCTAACATAAATTCAGAAGGTAAAGTAAGATCATAAGTCCCAACGGTCAACGCAACAACTCTTGCTTCATTCCCAACGCGGAGATCCACTTCTCTCTTCGCTAGCTGCCTACTTCTTCTCAGACCCTGCACATTTCCACAAATGTGTGAGACACATCTGATATCTAATACCCATTATGTAAAAGTAAACAAGTTAGCCTCTATAACAAAGATACCTGAAGACGAAGCTTCTGCAAACTTCTTCTTCTTCTGATCTTCTAGGTAGAGTTTGCAATTTCTGCATCAATGCCCCATGGCATGGGAAATGGCACTCTCCCTTCTCAACCTTAGACTTAGGGTCGGCGACAATAGTTGCCGTCTTGCCCTTGTTTTTCTTGCTCTTGGAACGCTTCCTCTTGTTAGAACTCTTTCCAACAACTAAGACGTTCTTCTCGACTTTGATATTCTGTTTGGCCAATTGCATCATCCCAGTAGCTCGGTCAAGTCTTTCTCCATCTCATCCATGTTGTAATTCATGAAAAAACTGGTCAAAACTATCCGGCACAGATTGAAAACCTAGTTCTACTGCCAACTCACGATTAACCTCCAATCCTAGTCGCTCAAGATCCTCTAGATAACCCTTCGTCTTAAGGATATGAGTACTCACGGGAGAACCATTGGACATCTTACAGTTGACCAGGTTCTTTAGGACGTTGAATCATCTGATCCTTGCATGTTCCTCAAACATAGTCCGAGGTAGCTCAATCATCTCGAAGGCATTAGTTCCTTCGAGTTGTTTCTGTAACTCAATGGATATAGATCCGAGCATCAGGCAGGTCACATCCAGGTTATCATTGACATGTCTCTGATAGGCATCTCTGAAAGCCCTAGTCGCATTGGCCGTTGGTCCATCCTCTAGAACGGACTCCTCTAGCACGTAGAGCTTCCGCTTATGTCTGAGAACAATTCTTAGTTGCAGTACCAGTCGAAAAAATTCCCACCAGTGGATCTCTCCCAATCAAGGATGGATCACATGGAGAGATTAGCCAGATTACCTGTAGCAGTCATGTTCTACAGAAAAAGACAAACAAACAGACAGAAAAAAAACACATCGTTTAGTACACATACTGACATAGACAACAGATGCTATATGACAGGCTCCCACTAAGAAAAACACCCTCAATGAATTTCTAAGTGAGATAAGATCCATATTTCACATACTTTTGAGTCAGCTAGGATATGACGCTCAAAACCATGCTATTTAGGTAGACAACACATTGTCAATCACATCGCATGTGATTTCTAGATGAGTATGGGATAGTGATACTCTATCACTGCATGTTCCTCATCACATCCTTATCATTAGGTCCAACTCCGACTTGATAACACAATTCAAGCTTAACCATATTCGAGTTAATATCTCAAATCACGATTTCTCCATACTGTCTCACCAAGATAATCAGTCATTCTGAGCTAAGGCATGACTCGTAACCATGACGATCGAGACCTTGACAGTTGCTCTACTAATAGGCGATAATAGCTTGAGATTATATGAGGTTTTGATTCTAATTCTGATACTTGATCCGAAACACCGGTTGTTCGATCAAAAACATGAATTTTGGAATCTCGGATCGTCTGAAGTCGAGACCGACCAGTCCAGTCATTGGACCGACTGATATGACCTGTTCAGACTGTTCCGGACCTTATCTGAGTCGTTTCGTTTCGGCCCCGAGGTCCAGACCAGTCGGTCCAACCATTGGACCGATCGGTCTAGCATCTCGGACCGAAACTAAACCGACTCAGATGATCCCCAGTTTGACTTGACCTAGACCGGTCAATCCGAGGACTAGACCGGTCGGTCTGTCGAACGTGATTCGACTTTCCCTTTTCCGGTCAAAGGTCCAGACCGGTCGGTCCAACCATTGGACCGATCGGTCTGACCTAATTTAACCTAAAAGAGACAGTCGTCGTCACGACGTTGGACCGATCGGTCTAACCTTTGGACTGATCGGTCTATCGTGACGGACAAACTTCAGATCGCGCTTTCGGGTCTTGAAAACTAGGGTTTTCACCCCTGTTTCGATGCACCGTCAAACCACCTAACTCATCCATGCATCATTCAACAATCAAAACATCAACAAATATGCATAGATATATCGTTTACATGCTGATAACACAATTTTCTCATCTATTTCAAAGCCCATTGTGTAGCACTTTCGCATCGGTTTTGTGCATTATTAGACATTTAGGATTATTTTAGCACTGGGTTTTATCTCTTCTGCATTCTCTGGTGATTGAACAGGTAATAGATGCATTATGGACACCAGAGGAACATAATCGAGGACTTCAGAGCATATTGGACCGGAATAGAACGATTAAGGCACTTCTAGCTCGAGTTGCACTTGAACACGACCATGTCGAGTTCAAACATGGTCGTGCAAAGGCAAGAAAACGAAGAAATTCTTACAGACAATTGACACGGACCGTGTCGACATCAAACACAGCCGTGTCGATCCACAACTCGCTCGTGTCCAGCCCGTGTAGAAGCGCATAAGTTTTGATCAGACAATTGACACAGACCGTGTTCTACCTCAACACGACCGTGTTACATTTCGAGAAAACTTCCTATTTTTGCATCCGAACTTCCGTTTTCGGAATGGGAAAAAGCCTAGCCGCCAAAGAAATAAATAGAGGACGTCTTGGGCTTCAGAAATCATCGAGAGATCACAGCAGAAGCCAGAGAACTCGAGAGAGAATCAAGACAAAGTTTTCCGGGAGCAGAGATTGAAGAATCGTCGTCGAGAAATCGCTGCGAGTCTTCTTTATCTGTTTCTATGTTTCTTTCTATTGATTTGAACTCGTTTGTTGTTATGGGTAGTGAGTAGTTATTTTACTGTAGCTAGGGATTTAACCTTGTACGGATTTGTTTGGTTTTTATTTTTCGAGACTATGTTATCGATACAAGGCGGTTTAATTGAATTGAGTTTATTGCTTTTGATCTTCTTGGTCTGTTGATTGATTGATCTTAGATTCTGATTGACAACGAGAGTTGGAATTATATTCGGAAAGAATTCATTAAATGAATTGATTAAGACTATTGAGAGATAGGTTAATCGGTTTAGGAACCGTGATAGTGATCGTTAATGCGTTTGATATTTTAATCTATTAGGTTGAGAGATCGATAGGTTAAATTATTGGATAGTGGATTTAGGACTTGAGAGAGCCAAATCTAATATTAAAACTTGAGGTCCCCGATTAGAGTTCGATATTCGTAGATTTTCTATCCTTAGAAACAATCTCTGCGCGTTAAGGTTATCCCGAAGCTACGGTGGTTTAGTTATCCGATTTACTTAGTTTATTTATTGCTTTATTTTCGGTGTTCATCTATTTCATCTACTATTTGCTGATCTGAATCTTAGTCGAGTCTTGTTCTTAGTGTTATCTATTCCCTGTGTTCGACCCTGGTACTAGGGCTGGCTTATTTGGTCAATAACCGATTAACCGAACCGAATTAACCGAATTAAAATATTTCGGTTCGGTTCGGTTTTTCTTAATAAAACCGATTGGTTATAAACTTTGAATAACCGTTCGGGTTCGGTTCGGTTCGGTTAATAACCGAATTAATTCGGTTAACCATTTGGTTATTCTTAAATTCTTAATAATTTGGTTTACCTTTGTTATTGTACGGTTTGTACCTTAACCAATTACCCTAGTTTATTTTAGTATTTTGTTCTACAGAGACTCTTAGTGCTCTTCTTCTCCAAACGGCGGTAGTTTCTTCTTCTCCAAAATTTTCTACAATTCTCTTCCAAAATTGTCTTCCTGTTTGTCGGTCGGTGTTCCTCTGTTCGTGCAAAGCTCCGAAACACCATCCCTCCATCATTCATTGCCTTTTTAGATTTTTCTCAACACTCTTTCACAGGTAACCGTATAATCGATTTTTACTTCGTTTTCTTTATAATTTCATGATTCATGGTTGTTATACTTTCGTTTATACTTCACTTTCATTTGTCTTCTTCGATTTGTCTTACTTTCTCTCATAAGTTCTTCTATAGATGGAAAACTATAACTTGTAGATGGAAAAAATCTCCATTTTTACTTCATTTTCTGTATATAGAAAACTCTTATTAGAGATGAAACTCTCAAAAAACTCTTTGAAAACTCTCAATTTCTGATTCAGTCTCTTATCTTGGATTTGCAGATGGAAAATTCTCAGTTAGTGGTAAGGGAATCAGGAGAAGAAGCAAATGGAACCAAGAGGAAGCAACCATCAACCGCTGCTGCTGAATTACCTCCTAAATCAAAAAGGGTAGTAGCTAAACGATCGAAGGTATGGGACCATTTTACCGAACTCCATAATAATCCAGAAAAATGTTCGTGCAACTATTGTGGTGCTGTGTTGAGTGGGGCTTCATCATCTGGGACTAGTAGTTTAAAAAGTCACATAGTCAACACTTGCAAAGTGTACAAAAAACTTGTTGAGAATGGATCTCAAAAAGTTCTGGTACATGATAAGCAAGAAGATGGCGATACTAAGCTTATTGCAGTTGGCTTTAGTCAAGAGGCATGTAGAAGAGCAACTATTAAGATGGTCATAATGGATGAGTTACCATTTGCTTTTGTGGAGGGTGCTGGATTCAAACTTTTTTGCAGTGTTGCTTGCCCTTCCTTTGTGATCCCTTCGAGGAAAGTAGTTGCAAAGGAAATCTATCAGTTTTTTCTGAGTGAGAAGGCTAGTCTGAAGGGATTGTTGAATGAGAACAAGCAAAGAATTTCTTTGACCACAGATATTTGGACTTCTATCACAACCGTCAGCTACATGGTTATCACTGCCCATTTTATTGATAGTACTTGGAGATTGAATAGGAAAATCATCGGTTTTGCACCTATATCAAATCATAAAGGGGAGACGATTGCAAATCAGCTTGAGAGATGCTTGAAAGATTGGGGTGTTGATAAAGTATTCACAATAACTGTGGATAGTGCTAGTGCAAACGACAGTGCTATTAAAATATTAAGGAAGAGGCTGAGCACTTGGAATGACGATACGCTTGTGTTGAACGGTGATTTTATGCATATGCGTTGTGGAGCACACATTCTCAATTTAATTGTGAAAGAAGGATTATCGGATATGGGCGATAGTGTGATCAGCATTCGTAACGCAATTAAGTATGTGCGGTCATCGGATTCAAGATTGCAATCATTTCGAAGTCGAGTAAGAAGTGGTATATTTAGTAGAGGTAGTCTGGTTTTAGATTGCACTACTCGATGGAATTCAACATTTCTAATGTTGACTTCAGCTTTGAAGTACAAGGAAACATTTAGGCGGATGGAATTGGAAGATAAACTTTATGATGACTATTTCCGCGAAGATGATGAATCTAGAATTGGAAAAAAAAGGAATGGTCCTCCTTCAGAGAATGATTGGGATAATGCTCAACGATTGGTACGTGTCTTGAGAGTATTTTATGAATCGACTTTGGCATTTTCAGCTACAAAAAAAGTAACTTCCAGTGGTTGCTATAATGAAATCCTAAGAGTTGAATCGGTTTTAGCAACGTTGATGAACAGCTCTGATCATAACTTGAGTACGATGGCTGAGAGTATGAAGTGCAAGTATGATAAGTATTGGGAAGGAACAGAAAAAATTAATAAGTTGTTGATTATAGCCTCTGCGTTTGATCCGAGAAGCAAAATGACCTTTATAACGCATTGCTTTGAGAAATTATATGGTAAAGATAGTGTTAAGGCTGCTGAAGTGAAAAGGAACATTATGGATGTGTTGCGGAGATTGTTCGACTTATATTACACATGGTCCAAAGCTTCAGATGTTGTGGAGAGTGGAAGTAAACATTTATCGAATGGTGATATCAATTTATGTGTGATACCTACGGACCTTGATCTTGACATTGATTTAGAAAAATATGATAATCCTTTTGCTTCATTTAGTCAAATGATAGCACATGGAGGAGATGTCGAAGGATCACTTACTGAGTTAGATCTTTACTTGATGGAAAAACTTGAAGTGGTAAGATCTAACAACTTGAGTTTGGAGTTTGATATTCTATTGTGGTGGAAGATAAACAGTGGAAAATTTCCCATCTTGGCACAAATGGCGAAAGATATATTAGCATTTCCTGTTTCTACAGTTGCTTCTGAAGCTGCGTTTAGTACCGGATGTCGCATTTTAGATCAGTATCGGAGTTCTTTAAATCATGATATGGTTGAAGCGTTGATTCTTACACAAAATTGGCTACAATATCCACTTTTTTCCGATGCAACACGTAGCCTCAAAGACGTGATAGCAGAAAACGATTTTATGTTTAATATGGTAGAAGGTATGTTTTCAATATCTTTACTGTACTTACGAAAATATTTCGTAAATAAACTTTTTTCGATTATTTTGTTTTTGTTTTTTACAGAACTTCGTGGAGAAATATCAAAGGATGCTTAGTGTTTGGAACAGAGATACAATGATTTTTATGGTAACTTCTTATATTTTTTTTATTCAAAATTTGTAATAATAAGATTAAGATCTATTATATACTTTATATTTGTTTTATCATTTTGAAATGTAGTACGTGGTTGAAGTATTTGGAAGCATTGCAAGAAAGAAGTGAAGATGAAAACGTTTTTGGTGAAACATCTTTGGAAGTATTTTGAAACATTATTTTTCCATGGATGTGTTGAATTTTTATCTATGTTTTGTTGGTATGTTGCAGGATTTTTATCTATGTTCTGTTGGTTTGCTTTTTATAATTTTTTGGTTATAACCGAACCGAACCGACCCAAATTTAAATTTGGTTATAATTTGGTTATAATATTTCGTATACATAACTGAACCGAATTAACCGATATCCGAACCGAACCGAACCCATTTAAATTAAATAACCGTTTGGTTATAGTTTTTATAAAACCGAAATAACCGAACCCGAAAATAACCGAACCGAACCCGAACCGAAACCCGATTAAGCCACCCCTACCTGGTACTACAGTTGATCCGTATATTTGCGGTATTTGCTGTATCTAGGTTTTTATTACTTGAGCTTATTTCTATACCTAGATTTGCGTGATCAAGTTTTTGGCGCCGTTGCCGAGGAATAGTTTAGCGCTAGGATAGAGATTCCTTTGAATCTAGATCCTTTCTCGTTTACTTTTATCCCGTTCCTGATCTATTCTAGTTCTTTGTCCTATTTTTCTGGTGTGTAGGTTTTCCCGGTGTATGAACAGGAGTTCTGGGCCTGACAACCTAGTCCCCTTTGATCCATAAATCGAGAAATCCGCCAAACGCGTTCGGAAGAAGAAGAAACAACAGAAGAAGATGGAGGAACGTGCTTTAGCTGTCGAGAATGACAATGACACTTATGGGGCATATCTTCAACCCAAGTACACTTAACAGCTCTCATGCATTCGTCGGCCCGATATCAATCGCAATAAATTTGAATTCCAGCTGGCATTCATCAGTATGCTCAGCTCATCGGCATTTAGGGGCAAGCCTCATGAAGATCCAATTCCTCATCTGACTCGATTCAAACTGCTATGCCAGTCTGTGAAGACGATTCAAGGAGTCACCGATGAGTCGCTTATGCTAATAGCTTTTCCATTCTCTCTAATGGACGCTGCATTAGAATGGCTCTACACACTGCCACCAGATTCTATTTTCTCTTGGGATCAGATGCAAGAGAAGTTCATGCAGCGATTCTTCCCTGCTAGCAAAACCCAGCTCGCCAAGCAACAGATCAACTCTTTTATACAGGAACCTGATGAATCTTTGCGCGAGACTTGGGATCATTTTCTTGGATACCAGCGCCTCTACCCTCATCACGGATTGGACAAGAGGTATCTTATCTCCACTTTCTTGCAGGGTCTAAAGGAAGATACTCGAGTCCTCATTCGAATCACCTGTGGAGGAAGCCTCAATGAGAAGTCTTTTGACTTCATCGAACAACAAATCACTAAAATGGCTAACGAGTGTGCTCATTTCCACGAATTCGTCAGAAATATTGGTTTTAAGGACAGCCGTGTAGGTAAGGAAAGTCCATCTGAAATACATGCTTTACGTGCAGAGCTGGCCAAACTTAGAATGCAGGTAGAAAATGCCCATCAAATCACTGATCTAGACGCATCATGAGATGAGTACGTGCATGAGGATGTCAGCTACGTCGCCAACAATCCGTACTCGAACACATACAATTCTGATTGGAGGAATCACCCAAATTTCTCATACAAGAACTCCTCCAACGCTCTAAATGCACAACACAACAATTTCAGCGGTTCATCTATCCCGGGTTCATCTCAAGGAAATCAATCTCAAACCCGAAATGCCTACCAGCATCCGAACCCAGCCCCTCAACACTACCGAACACCCCGTCAGCCTCAGCAAAATTTCGGTCTGCCTCCATCTCAATCACAGGTAAGTCCTGACCCCGATATCAAATCTATGCTTATACAACTTATGCAGGGTTAAGAAGCAATTCGTACCGAGATGCGAGAACATCAGCAAAAGACCGACGCCCATCTCAAGCTAGTTGATAACCAGATAGCGCAACTCGCTGCCTCTGTCCCTTCGCGACCTCAGGGATCACTTCCCGGGAACCCGGAAGCAAACCCCCAAGAGCACTGTAACGCTATATCCTTGCGCAGTGGCAAAGAGCTCGCTAACCCTATCATCACATCTACGGAAAAAAGTCAGTGCTCTAACTCTGTTCCTACATCTTTTCCTGACCCCATAGCGGCTAAAAAATTGACAGAGATCTCGGGTGATGAAGAACGCGACGTATACATTCCATCGCCACCACGTCCGCCTCCGGTTCCTTTCCCTCAACGACTCAAGAAAACTAAAGAAGACACCCAATTTGCTCGATTTGCCGACATGGTGCGTAAGTTGAAAATCACTATGTCATTTCACGAGGTTATCACTCAGATGCCATCCTATGCCAAATTCTTGAAGGACATTCTCACAAAGAAGTGCGTCATCGAGAAGGAAACCATCACGCTTAATCCCGAGTGCAGCGCCATTCTTCAGCACGATCTACCACCGAAAATGTCGGATCCAGGTAGCTTCTCGATTCCCTGTAAATTGGGAAATGTTTCTATAGATCGTGCTCTTTGTGATTTAGGTGCCAGTGTAAGTCTCCTACCACTCTCCATCTACAAGAAACTCAACGTGGGAGAACTCAAACCGACTCGCATGGCTCTTCAACTAGCTGATCGTTCTGTCAAATATCCTCTGGGTATTCTCGAGGACGTCCCGCTGAAAGTCGGCGATTACTACGTACCGGTCGATTTCGTTGTGCTTGACATGGACGAAAACTCCAAAATCCCGATTATTCTAGGCCCGCCATTCTTAAACACTGCAGATGCCATTGTCCACGTTCGT